AAACTTGAATAAGTCGAAACGTAGTGGCGTAATTTTAAAATGGAGGTCATTTCCAAAATGTACAGCTTTGAAAACATAAGAATACACCCTTGTATCTAATAAATTCGAAAAACTTTAATAAGACGAAATGCAGTGGCGTAATCTTAAAATGGAGGTCATTTTCAAAATGCACGGCTCCGAAAACATATGAATACACTCTTATATGGAATAAATTCGAAAAACTTAAATAAGAAACGCAGTGGCCTGATGGTAAAATGGAGATAATTTTCAAAATTTACTGGTCCGGAAACAGAAGAATACACTCATATCTAATAAATCCGAAAAACTTAAATAAGTCGAAACGCAGAGGCGTAATCTTAAAATGGATGTTTCTTTTAAAATTACTCATACGATAACTGTCTCATATAATGAAAAATTAAAAATAATTAATTAAATAAAAAAAGGTTGAATTGGACATGGAAAAAGTTTAATTTTGTTTGGGAATTAAACAGAGAGTAAAAATAACGGCTTATTTTTGGAGAAGTGGTAACCCAACAGCTACAATAAAAAAACAAATTTTTATTAAAGCTATCAGTGAAGATGTTAAAGTAAAACTGAGATAACTTATGAAAAGTGGAAATGTTTTTCCTCTCATAAAATATATAAGTCAAATAAAAAACGAAACGTACTGACTTGGAAGTACGAAAGCGCATTAGCTAAGAACTCTTTGGCAATAGAAAAGAGAATACATACACTTCTCATCAATGATGAACAGATTCGCTTGTGCCCAGGAAAAAAACACTTTGTAATACCGAAAGGTATTTATAAATGATACACGTACAAACCTCCACAAACAATTTCTAAAGGAAACCGTCGTGCACTGTGAGTAATGCTACGTTCTTTGGATTCAGCCGTCTCCCCTCCCCCCAAAGTGATATGGAAAATGATATTTTAAGCATTAATATTTTGCATTTATTTTACCACTGACAGATACCACTTGCAAATTTTTGTACAATTATTTTTTATTTATAATTGGGACTTAATCTTGTCTTTTGAAAAAGCGACTGATGCAACTTGCAAATTACTGTACCGTTAATTCGAGCTGATTAGCTTATTATCAAGTCAATAAAAGAAATAAAAAATCAAAAATAAAGATTAGCAGAGATAATTTATAACAATAATCGCTCATTATCTAGTCATATAAAAAGTGAGAAGTCACTAAAAAATTGTATCTACTAAATAATATGTATTTTTATATTATAATTTCATTGAACTACCATTTGTAGTACACCAAATACAAAAAATATTCCTCGTCTCCTTGTTGTTGTTCGCGCATTTACTGATAATTGTCATTCTACAATAAAAATTTGTTTATGCGATTATTTCAGAACATGTATGATTTCTATTACTGATTTTTATTTCGTTTTATTTAAAATATATGCTCACTCCATACGGGTGAAACGTACCTCCTCCCTCTGTTTTTTAACATTGACTGCACATCTGAGCTCTTTAGGGATATATGTAGAAATTAACTACATAAGAATGGGATATAGCTCTGCTGATGTTTATTGTTTTCCAATGACCTATCTAATTAAAAATTGATCTTATTTTATATATGGACATAATTTTGGCCGTTAATTTTAACATCAGATTTAAAATTGACTATGTTAGTTATATTTTTAGTAATATAAATTGATTTTAGTTTTTTTTTTTTAACTTTGTTTTGCGCCATGTTTAAAATTTTTATATTGTTAAAATCGAATATATTATTTAATATGCTGTGATTGGATAAAGTTGTGGATTTTATGTATTTAGGATTTTTTTACATTAGTTTTGTATTGTTTTATTCTGTTTCTTAAATTTTGCCATGTTTCACCAATATAATGTTTGGGACATTGTATACTTGGGAATTTTATGTATCACGTCTTTTTTATCTATTAAATTGATTCTATCTTTCATATTGGATATGTGTCGTCTTTCCAGTTTGTCATCGTTGTATACCCCGAACTTGAGTTCGTAATGATCATATTTTTTAAAACCATTTTTTATTTCCCTCGTCAATTTCGAAATGTATTTTAATTTGTGGTATATATTATATTATATTCTCGGTTTTGTTTTTCTATATAATTTTGATTGTCATCCTTTGATTTTTCCTCGCCGTCCAATATTTTAAAATATTATATTATTAATCGAACCACCCTAAACATCAGATTATAAATATTACCGTTAATCTAAATAATACAGTCATAAAACTTACAGACACCAGATATATGAATAAGGTTAAAAACAATATATACAATATTTTGCTAAATAATTTTTATCTATTTAAATTTGTCAATAAACTGTAGCATAAATATATCAATAATGATAATACAAAATATATTAGCCGGCATAAAATACCTAAAAATATTTTTAACATAAAAATATATAACAATATGAATAAGAGAAATAAAAATCTTATAACGGATTGATTATTTTAAAGTATGGAATTTTTAATTAGATAGGTCATTGGAAAATAATAAACATCAACAGAGCTATATCCCATTCAGTTATTTAGATAATTCCTACAGGGACATACACCCTCAAAGAGCTTAATGTGCAGTCAATGTTAAATATTAGAGGGGGGAGGTAGTACCATACGGGGCGAGCATACAATTTAAATAAAACAAAACAGAAATCAATAATAGAAATCGTATGTTCTGAAATAATCGCATACACAATTTTTTATTATAGAATGACAAACATCAGTAAATGCGCTAACAAGGAGACGAGGAATATGGTTATTTTTTGTATTTGGTGTACTACAAATGGTATTTCAATGAAATTATAATGTAGAAATGCATTTTGGGAGGTAAATGTTTTTTTGCTAAGTTCTTACTTTTTTATATGACTAGATAATGAGCGATCATTGTTGTAAATTATCTTTGTTAATTGTTATTTGTAGATGATTTGATAATGAGCTAATCATCTCGTCGAAAGCGTCAGTCGTTCGAAGTAGAATAAAATCTTTTTAAAGTATAAGGTCTTTTATATTCCTTGAAGACACCATATATAAGAACATTGAATGTCTTTGAAAATTACTACCGTAGTAGCTAAATATACGTATTTTTATAATAAATTTTAACCTAGAAATAAAAATGTTGTTGCTACTTGCAATTTTTGTTTGAATGGATTTTTATAATTTCCTATATGTGGAGTATCCTAGTGTATAATATATATCATATTTCCTTGCCTCTAGATCATAAAAAAATATTAAATTCTAACTAGCTGCCATTACCGAGCTAATGTAGTCATACCGAGCTTTTTAGAAAATTGTATTTATATGCCGTAAAAATCATGAAAACTGCCCATAACTGAGAATCACCTATACCTGCTACTGCATCTGATTTTGCACCTAGGTACAATATATTTAAACTTTTCAGATATCCTCGCCACTGAGGTCGATTAATAGATCACCAAGGGAGGTTTTTATAAAAACGTAAACGATTTTAAGTCAAGTATCGATTTGTTTTATCGATATTGTGGTCGATTACAAGGTCTTCTAGAGTGTTATTCATAAAAATGCTATAGTTACAAGATTCTGCGCTAAGTTATGGAATAATGTTAACTTTTCGTATTTCCCCGTTATCGAGGTCAATTATTAGGTTTTCGAGAGCCCTTTTAAGGAAAATTCTATTGGTTTCAAGGTTCCGCGCTCATGTATTGATTTGTTTAAACTTTTGTTATTACCTCGATTTTGAGGTCGATTACTCACTTTTCAGGCCGCGTTTTCTAAAAATACTATAAATTTAAAGATTTATTTTAGACTGACTCAAATATTAGATCTTTTTAGTAATTATTTTTCAAAGTACCCAGCTTTGAAGGTTTAAAAGTTTTTCTAGGATGGTATGTTTGTAAGTGAATAAACATTTTTCATTATCATATGTGTATTCTTCATGCAACTATACTTGTTTAATGATTGTTGAAGGTTTCTTTTAAGTATGCCTAGTTTCGGACTGTGATAGTTAAGAATTTACAACCCAATATTCGTTCCAGAACTTGTATTTATTGGAAATTGTAGGTACTGTTGTAGTGGGTTACTTTGATCCTTAAACGATAAAATTGCTACAATGTCAAGCGTTGCTGTATTTATTTCTTTATAACCTAATAATCAACCTCAATATTGAGGGTCTCTAAGAAGTTAAAATAAATTAATACCTGAGAGCAGAATCTTAAAATGGATATTTTTATAAAAAGCTCCTTTGATTGCCCAATAATGAATAACAATGTCGATGAAATCCTAAAGAAGTTATATACTAGTATTTATTTAATTTGAATTTAACATTGGTTTTTAATTGTCTTGATCTCATTATAAAAATTAAGTTATGGTTTTCATTTTCTGATTACAAAAATAAAAACCACATCACACGACTTTCATTAATTTTTTTGAAAACTTAATCATATCATGATTTACATTCACTTAGAGAGAGAAATAATAATTAATTTCAATCTTTGCTTTAAGGTATTCAAGGTTGCTGGACTCCCTGAAATAGCTAATGGTAAAACTTCAGTAAGTGTCAACCTAACATTGGGGCTAAATCAAGATCACATCCATCACACTATAGATAGAAATGTAAAAGTGGCCACTGTAGATGGAATTGAGAAAGTGAGCGAGTGTTAACAATCATGTTCACAGGTACAACCTCATTTATCATAATTCAAGAACAATAGGATTATTAGTTTAATAGTAATGGTTTTTAAAATTATTATTACTTTTGTTTTTTTTTACTTACACAAAAAGAGAAAACAAAAAACATTTCTTCAGTAAAGGCTGAGACTAGACTAAAGAACACGGCCCACTCAGACACTTAAGAAATACCACCTAGTGTGATTGATATTATCATAACTAAAGCACCATGTTGGAGTGATACTTGTTAAGTTGTACCTAGCTTATTAATAAATTTCTATTAGTTGGAAATTTAAAATGGACTTAATCAATTTATTATAAAAAAAAAAAAAAAGACTTCGACTAACATACTGACCGAAGGGCAGCTGTAAAACTACTTCTTGTGCAGCTGTAATACTATTTTATTTTCATATCTTCCTCCCCTTAAGGTTGGTTTTCACTGTAGATAACATTTAAAATTGTTAATAACAGGAGATAATAACAAGTTAATAACATTTTTTAAATAACTTCTCTGTGAAATGTTAATTCTACATATCAATTGGATGAAAATTAAAGTAATTACAAATTTATAGCATTTTGCTATTGATCACTGTTAATAGGAGGATTAAAAATGTTACTGGAAACAATGGTAATTATTTTAAAAGTAATTTTTCCTATAATTGTTTAAAGTTAATGTATTATCAATATAAAAGTATATAAAATAGTTCATTTTGTAAACAGAATTTTTGATAATTGTTTATAAAGTTTACTTGTAATTTAATTCATTGCTCAATTTTAGTTTGTGTTTGTTTTATATAATGAATAAACTAATTAATTAATTTATGACCAATCAATAACCAAAGCAAATTCAAAACAGTTGCAACTAGTATGCAAATTAATTAAGATTAAAATACAAATATGAAATATACCACTTCAAGTTCTGATGCTTATTATTTTTAAAATATGAATACATAAAGAATCAAATAGATAAGAAAAGGATTGAAACAAATGCTTTACTAAATAACTTACTTTTGGACCTCATTTGTTTCTACGAGCCTTTGTTCTAATAAGCAGAAAATACAAGGCTTCCACAATTATTATTGTTATAAAAAAATTATTCATATCAGATTAAACTGAAAAAAATAAATAAATATCTAGTTCAACTGACTTTTAACTTTCCAAATTACAAGCAAATTAGATTATAGTTGTACAACTGAACATAAAGGGTCTTGGGTACCATAATTTACAAAAAATAAATAAAATGTTGCATGGACATTATAAAGTTGACCGGCTCCCTCCTCCTGCCCTATGTGGATATCCTTAGGATGATTTTTCAACCCCAAGGTAGATAGAATATAGCAGACAGAATAGGCAAGGTGTTAGAGGTTCAATTTGTTGCTCACTAACCAACACTTTCTCTAGGATAAATCTGTAAACCTACATATTCAGTGGATCAATAAAGTATTGGCACACCTAACTTTTTTCATGTTTCATTGTGAAAAAATTCTAAATTGATTAGTTAAACACTTTTATTAAATAAAAGATTTAAAGAAATACATAATTGGAGAAAAAAATATTTAGATTTACTTAATTAAAAAAATCACTCTAACAGTCAAAAAAATTATTGGCACACTTCCATTTTAAAGTAATTTCACGAACGAACTGGATATGTATTTTATCATCATACCATTGGCATCTATGACACCGTGGAATCTTCTTGACAGAGTCAAAACAAGATTTTGAGTGAGGTCTAGCCCATTTTACGCTATTTCTCTGACAGTTTCTTATAAATATTTTTGTTAAGAAATTTTATATTTTTTACTTTAAAATCCAACAGATAGATATTCTATGGCATTTATGGCCGGAGACTGTGGTGGCATTTTCCATTGGCTGGGACCAATGTACAACATCCATTCTTTTGTTATATTTGCTGTGTGCCTGCCTGGCACCTTGATCCTCATATTTTGGCTTTACTTGTTAAATTATGTCACAAAATGTCGACATATTGGTTGGTATTCATAATATTGTCAATAAAGGTTAAGTTTTTAACACAATTCCATGACATACCCCCTCAAACTTGGACACTTCAACTTCAATGTCTTACAGTGGGCCTCAAATGTCGAGCTTAAAACTCAGCATCAACTTTCCGCCAAACATACGTCATTACTAGAACGAAATATGTTAAACTTACTTTCATCTGAAGAAATAACATTTTTCCAGAATTCGAAGTCTTTATTAACTCAAGTTTTGGCCAACTTAGGTCTTTGTTTGCGGTTCATATCTGTAATAAAAAGTGGAGTGTGCCAATACTTTATTGACCCACTGTATATCACTCGACCACAAAGCTTGACAGACAAAAGCTACATTCTTAATAACTCCTTTGAGTATTGTGCTTTTCCTTTTTCATCAATAAAACACTTATTAAAGAATATATATGAAGATACTAAACTAAACCCAATTCCAAAAATAAATTAGTGCCCTTCAAGTTGAAAAATTTAACCTGAATAACTAACTCAGCCCAACAACCTACTTCGAAACATTTACTCTCAAGTATGACTAGTACAGGAAGGATATTAAACCAAAAATTCTTGAACCAGAGTAGAGGTTCAATAAAAGGACTAAAATAACTATTAATAACCATTTAATCAAAGAAATACATATAAGATAATTCCTAAATACAAGAATCATTGCATTTTAGTATCTAATAAAAACCACTCATCTTTATAAGTTTCTCAAAACATTCGTCAATTGAGGTGGCATTTAGATGAAAGCTTCGATAAATAGACAAAGGACAGCGAGAAATCATTACTATGATTAGGTAATCCTATATGAGAAAGCTGAATAGTTTTTAACAAAACTTAATACAATAAAATCAACAACCAGAAGTTACACAACATAGTATGCTTAATAACTCCCATTTAAATAAATAGTTTCATAATTAATTTAAGCATCAAAGGAAAACAAGTATTAATGTAGCTAAGTCTCAACAGGAACACACCACCTCACCAATATTCCCAGATAAATCATGTATTTGTTTTAGTGCTTTATTACTATTTTTATACTATTGCAACCAAAATTATATCCCTAAAATAAAATAAGAAATGTATTTCTTTAATTAATTTTAAGATTATTTACAACATTGAATCAATACATTTAAAATTGCTCAAATTAGTAGTATTACCTGAAAGAGGTAGATGAAATGGTCAAATGAATTATTGCAAGCAAAAACTAGGGCTTGAAACTTTTGAGAAATTTCTTTAAAAATTTAGTTTAAAGTTTCTTTGAACTTATTTCAATAACTTTTATAAAATTTAATTCCTAAGAAACATTCAAGTAATAAAGTTCTGTGTTTAATGTTCTTGAAAAAAAAAGTTACATTATATGAGATATAAAAAATATATTTTTTGTAGAAAGTGAGCTATGGTAATAAATATATTTTTTTCTTTAATAAACTACCTGATTCTAACATTTCTTTGGTATAAATAGCTCAGAATGCACTGCTTACATATCATCTTAATAACAGTTCATCAAACAGTTTTATTCACATGTTCCAAAAGAAAATGTTTAACATTTAAACAGAAAATAAACAAATAAAAATTCCAGTCATATCGGATGTGATTAAAAATAACAGTTAACTTTTCAAAACATAATAATTCAGAGATAAACATTGAATAATAAAAAAAATGAATTCAAAATGCCTAGGATCATACAATGCCAGAGAATGTAAGTTGAAATATATATTTAAATTATGAATTATGTGATTACATAAGTTAGATCTAAAAGTCTTAATTTAATCATATTTCAAACAGTTCATTGATTCACATAATTATTGGATTAAATAAGTTCTTGAGGAACTCCTCTAAAAAAAAATTTCAACCTAAGAGTATCCAAACTTAAAATCCATCCATGGTTAATCGGGAATATCTTTTCACTAGCTCAATGCACTGTATGTTTGGTAAATCAACAAAAGATAATTACTACTAGAATAAAAAATATAATTAGAAAAAAATTAAGAATGATTTTAAAACAATTTGGTTCCACTGATTTTAGTATTTAGACCATCAGATTAAAATGATACAGGCATTTAGTATTTGATAGAAAAATAAATTAACATCTCACCTATTAAACAAAAAATATATTCAAAAACCATCAGAGGGAAAATAAAATGTTCCTTTAATCCGAGAAAAGTAATTGGAATCTGACAATCTTCTACCTCACTTACATTCTATAACAGTGTTGCCATGGTGAATAAATAATAATTATTATTACATTACATGGTTATACTACCTACGACAACCTACAATTATTCACAGTAAGATAATAAAAGCTGATTATTTGTTTTTTTTATTTATTCATAATATTAACTGTCTTAAATTAAAAATAATCTAGTAAATGTGTCAACAAAAATGATACAATCCCGTGCAGTACATTCTGCGCTCCAATGCAGAGGAGACTATGTCTACCATACAATAACATTGGTGGATAGTGGAATGAGATGTGCGGAATCCAAATTGGTGGTTTGGGATAATGTGGTTAGAATCAAGGGAGGGATACAGGATTTAATTGTAACTTAACTATCATTATTAATACACAATTAATTTCTAATATTTTCTTAAAATCATTCTGAAGGTTAATTGTTTATTTGATAATAAGAAAATTATTAATTACTTTGTTTCCTCAGGAAAAACAAAATAGACAGGTTATGTATATATAAGGATGATAAAAAATTGTTCAATCCAATAACTAGCATACATTATAGCAGACACAAAAACTTAGCGATACTTTTGACATAAAATATACTTTAAACTCACTCACCAAATAAGCAATAATTTTAAACAACTTGGTTAGTAAGAAAGAGGAATTAAATAACACAAGTTTGAACAATTACATTCACTACTCTGAGTTAGAAACAAATAGCAAGGCTAAATCAGTGATTAGATTAAAAAACATTAAGTAAACATAAAAGGTTAACAGCTTAATATTATTTTCTCAAGACTACATAATAGACAAATGAACCACAAATTTAATAGAAACAATTATGATTTCAATACAATGATATAAACATTTATAAAAAAGGTTATTATCACGTTAAAATCGACTTTAAATAATAAACTTAAAGAAAGAAAATTAAATTATTAGGCGCATTAATTTATAATAGCAGTAAACTTTTACAAGATCGCCTAAGATAATCTAAAATAGATAAAATAATTAAATAAAAATTATTCTTTGAGAAGAAAGGTATAGGCGAACCGGGCTAACCAATAAATTTAAAGTCCGTGGAATAATATAACAAAATCAATAGCTCGTTCTTGGAACGAGAAATTCTAATAGTAAACAAAAATATTTCAATTCTTACTTACCTGTTTAGCCCTTTGTAATGCAGCTGCAAACGCTTGGCTTTTATTAAATTGTTGAGGAGGTGCAACAGAATTATATTCAGACATTATCAAAATAAACCAAAACAATTGTACAAACACTGGATGTATATCTAAAATGAAATATAACCTATGATATACTACATAAACTAATACACTGAGAATTTTGTATTCTTGAATGCCGGAATGCTTCTGCACCTATGTAGCCAACAACCACGCTATAGAAACATATGAAAATGGCCGAACGAGTCTCAGACAGCGCTTTGATCACTGGTAAAACAATCTTCAAAACAGCGCTTCAAATTTGTTCGTATATATTCGTGATATATACATATACATTCCAGAAAGACCAAGCTTATTTTAAAGAAGAATTTGATATATTTTTATTTTTTCCTTTATTGTTTTCTTAAAAAAGTGTATACTGGTTTATCACTACAAATAGTTTTAAGTGCCTTATCAACATAGTTTTGTTGTAACATGTTGATTTCTATATAGCGTTGTATTTTCTTTACATTTTTTCTATTGTTTTAATTTTGTTCTATTTTGTTATTCTATAATGAGGGATTTTGTCCCATAATAAAGTTATTTTCTATTTCTATTTCTATTTATAGATTTTTTTTTTTTAGGGAAATAAAAGGTTCATTCTTTATTGTAATCATTTGGAGTAGAGCATTTGGGGAAAATATGGGCGCAATATGGTTATAGGACACTTGTTAAAATAAGTAGTCAATACAAAAACTGAATATTTTTTGTTGTTGTTTTTTTCTTGATTTTTCTATTAAATTATTAATTTTATTTATTAAATTTATTTTGTTTTTGTAGCATGTTGATTTGGATATATTTGTTTTTCTCTCCGCTTCAGGTCCATGCTTTTTCTTCCTGGATAAACATGTTTTATATGTACGTATTATATTTTTTATGTATTTTCATATTTTTTTTTCTCTATTTTTCCAATTCAACTATAATTACGCTAGAGAAGATTTTTTTGTTTAACCGATAACATATTATTTTATAGTGCTAGTTTATTAACTTGCCCTACTATGTATATTTTAACAACTAAACCAATGTCTTTCTGTTATTATTTTTGTTATCTTATTATATTATTGTTTTATTTATTTATTTTATTTATCCAGGTTATATTTTTTGTTTCTCTGTGTACCAATATGAGTATGTATGTATATATAGTTCTTTTTTTCCATTGCACTACAAGTAAACCTGAGATTTTATTATAATTCTCTTATTGTTTGCACATTACTATATAAATCACTGTAGATATTATTACATTCTGTATTAAGTTTTTTTTTTAATTAGTTAGCCAATTGTTTATAAATTGTGTAGTTATGTATATATAAATAATTTATTTATTTTTACATTAAAATAATAAATAATTTTGAGAAGATCTTAGGTTCATTTAATTTTTTTCGTTTTTTTTTCTGTTTATTATTTAGTGGTTACATATTATTTTTTAAATAATATATATAATATTAGAATGTTCATAAGTTAGTTTTTGGCCAGGTTTGTATTTTATTTTATATTAATTCAGCATTGTTATTCTAAGGAGACTTTGTCCCAGAATAAAGTTCAATTTTCTATTCTATTTCATGTTATATTTTCTTTACATTTATTCTATTGTTTTAATTTTGTTATTCTTAAGGGATTTCGTTCCATAATAAAGTTATTCTCTATTTCTATTTCTATTAATGGATTTTTTTTTTTGAAAATAAAAGCTAATTCTATATTGCTATCATTTGGAATCGAGCATTTGGAGAAAATATGGGCGCAAAATGGTTATAGGACACTTGTTAAAAAAAGTAATCAATACAAAAACTGAATATTTTTTGTTGTTTTTTCTCTGATTTTTCTTATAAATTATTAATTTTATTTATTAAATTTGTTTTGTTTTTGCAGCATGTTATTTTGTATGTAGCATGTTGATTTGGATATATTTGTTTTTCTCTTCGCTTCAGGTGCATGCTTCGTCTTCCTGAATACATATGTTTTTATGTACGTATTATATTTTTTATGTATTTTCATATTTTTTTTCTTTATTTTTCCAATTCAACTGTAATTACGCTTGAGAAGATTTTTTTGTTTAACCGATAACATATTATATTGTAGTGCTAGTTTATTAATTGGGCCTACTATGTATATTTTAACATCTAAACCAATGTCTTTCTGTTATTACTTTTGTTATCTTATTATATTATTGTTTTATTTTATTTATCTTATTTATCCAAGTTATATTTTTTGTTTCTCTGTGTACCAATATGAGTATGTATGTATATATAGTTCTTTTTTTTCCATTACACTACAAGTAATCCTGAGATTTTATTTTTATTTCTCTTAGTGTTTGTACATTATTATATAAATCACTGTAGATATTATGTCATTTTGTATTAAGTTATTTTTTTTTAATTAGTTAGCCAATTGTTTATAAATTGTGTTGTTATGTATATATAATTTTTTTTCCATTAAAATAATAAGTAATTTTGAGAAAATCTTAGGTTCATTTAATTGTTTTCGTTTTTTTTTTCCGTTTATTTTTTAGTGGTTACATATTATTTTTTAAATAATGTACTAATAACCACGCTATAGAAACATATGAAAATGGCCGAACTAGTCTCAGACAGCGCTTTGATCACTGGTAAAACTATATTCAAAACAGCGCTTCAAATTTGTTCGTATATATTCGTGATATATACATATACATTCTAGAAAGACAAAGCTTATTTTAAGGAAGAATTTGATATATTTTTATTTTTTCCTTTATTGTTTTCTTAAAAAAGTGTAAACTGGTTTATCACTACAAATAGTTTTAAGTGCCTTATCAACATAGTTTTGTTCAGTTTTCCTCGAACAGTGGTAGTGTCAACATCGCGGTTTATCTGTTTGAAGTGGCGGTATCCTTTTAGTGCGAGGATAATAGGCCGTTGTGGACAGGCCCAACTTCTCAGAAGCCTGCGGCTAGCTACATTCAGGCCAGATTTATCTATTTTATTTTCTCTTTAATTTATATTATTTTCATATTACTTAAAATTATCAACTAATATCACACCTATTTGTGATCATGGGGGAAAGTAGCGTGGGAACTGAGTCCCCTGATAAACCATTAAACTCACCGGAAGTACATAATGGAAAAAATCAACATAAATACTTGCAGAACTTTAAAGGCCCCTTCATTGTTTTAGTTGAAAAATCGACTAATGAAAACATAGCTTGCTTTCATGATATGAAAATTGGAAAAACTCTAGGCTTAAATAACTCTCACGTTTTTTCTATTAAAAAGAAAAATAAACAACAAATTGAAGTTATTTTTAAAACTTATGAATATGCCAACCGATTTTTAGAAAATCAATTTCTTGAATCTAATAAACTAAAAGCATTTATACCGAACTCATACGTTTTAAAATACGGAATAATTAGAGACGTACGCCCATCTCTTTCTGAAGAAGAAATTCTGAGTGAAATTCAATCAACCGAAAAAATAGTCAAAATTCGCCGTTTCAATAGAAAAATTAAAAATTCCGACGGTACTGTAACTACTATAGCTACGGGCACCATCCAAGTTGTTTTTCACGCTCAGCGACTCCCTGACAGCATTGCCCTTAACTTAGCCCCAAGAAAAGTTTACCCATATATTTTTAAGCCCCTCCTTTGTGAACAGTGTTTAAGATATGGTCACACCAAAGAAAAATGCAGAGGAAAAGGAAGATGTATGAAATGTGGCTCTAATGAACATACCGCAGAGGAATGTGTGAACGCGATCAAATGCATACATTGCAAAAACGCTCACCTTCCAACAGATAAGGAATGCCCAGAAGCAATTCGACAAAGGAAAATAAAGGAGGCTATGGCCGTCAAACCGCTTAGCTACAAGGAAGCGAATAATTTATTTCCGGTTTCCATTTACAATAAATTTTCCGCACTAGATTTTCCTCAATTATCGTTAAATAATGATTCTGCCGAAAATAATCTTTACCATTATAATACTGCCATTACAAGAAACCCAGGAAAAAAAAAATTTTTAAAATACAATCCAGACAATTTGAAACGTCAGAGGCTGAACGACAACCCAATAGATTTTCAAAACACGAACCCTGTGGAACCTCCACGTAAAACACCAACAATAACCTCCCCTCTAATCACAGATAACCCCCATCGAGTTAGCGCTGACTCTAAATATATTAATATGTTAAATTCATTAATAAATAAAATTTATTGAAGGCAGTGGATCAGCTGATGCGAAGGACGTGTTCTGAAATCTTCTCTCAGTTGTTGCCTATTTTTCAGCGGAATCTCTTTGATTATTTACTGCATACAGTTGAAGTGTACACCAGAGCAGTTGTTATTTACAGTTTGCTACATTTTTTTTTATTATTATTTTTTTTTTATTTATTTATTTTTTTTTTCTTCTCTTATGATATGCGGCATTGTCAGCCAGTGATGTCCAGTAAGGTGCCCACTAAGAGGACTCGGTCAGACGGCGTTAGTACCCCTCGTGATTCACCAGTGAAACAAAAAACTCGTCGCTGCCTGCGAGAAATAGCTCCAATAACCACAGTGAAAACTTCAGATACAGAACCTCAGCCTCAACCAGGTACCTCTTCGCAAGAAATGGTTGAAGAATCTCCTTTCTTCACTCCAAACCCGTTCCAAGTGCTTCATAATGACAGAGAAGTAATGGAGTCAGCAGCAGTACCCAGGGAACCAAGGCCTCCTCCGATATTTGTAAAAAATATCAAAAATTTTCAACTACTGTGTACACAGCTAAACGAAATCTGCTCCGGCAGTTATTCTTGCCTCAACAGGACTAACGACACAAAAATAACACCTGATACTGCAGAAGCCTACCGAAAAATTGTGAAGTACCTGTCAGAAACGAATGCAAATTTCCACACGTACCAGCTGAAACAGGAGAGATCGCTACGAGTGGTGGTAAGAAATTTACACTCCTCAACCCCAACTGAAGTGATAAAAGAAGAACTAGCGACGCTTGGTTTCAAAGTGCGTCAGGTAACCAACGTTCTGAAGGAGAATAAGGAGCAGCCAGGAGTGAGTAATAAAGTTCCACTACCTTTATTTTTCGTGGATCTAGAGCCATCACCTGGCATTGAAAAAATATATGATATCAAGAGATTGTACTACACTATCGTGAAGATAGAGAAGCCATACCCCAAGAAGGAAATTGTGCAGTGCCACAATTGCCAGGCGTATGGCCACACGAAAACTTATTGTCACCATCTGCCGCGTTGC